AGATCCCTGAGGTACCCCACTGGTGACAAGTCAAGCTTCGAATATATTCCATTAACCACAACCCTCTGTTGCCTGTCACTGCCTTAGCCATTCAACAATATTGGAATCCAAACTTAAAAATTGCAGTTTATTGATAAGCCTTCTATGTGCAACAGTGTCAAAAGCCTTACTGAAATCTAGGTAAGCAATGTCTACTGCACCACCCTGATCTATAATTTTTAGTTACCCAATCAAAAAAATCAATAAGATTAGTTTGGCATGATCTCCCTGAAGTAAACCCATGTTGTCTGTGATCTTGAAATCCATGTGTTTTTAGATGTTCAACAATCCTATCCTTTAACATGGTTTCCATCACTTTCCCCACTACTGAAGTAAGGCTTACTGGCCTATAGTTTGCCCGACTCCCTCCCTATTACCTTTCTTGTAAAATGGGCACAACATTCGCTATCTTCCAATCTTCTGGGACTACTCCTGTTAACAATGATTGGTTAAATAAATCTGTTAATGGTTTTGCTAGTACACCACTAAGCTCTTTTAATAGCTTTGGGTGTATTCCATCAGGTCCCATTGACTTATTTGTCTTTACTTTGACAGTTGAAATAGAACCTCTTCCTCTGTAAACTCACGTGTAATAAATGACTCATTTATCCTTTTTCTCAACTGAGGTCCCTTTCCTTCATTTTCTTCTGTAAATACAGAACAAAAATATTCATTGAGGCAGTCAGCCTGGTCTTTATCCTCTTCTACATACCTTCCTTCTTTTTGTTTTAATCCTAACCTAATCCTTGTTTTACTTTTCTTTTCTCATTTATGTACATCTAAAATGTTTTATCCCCTTTTTTTTGCAGCTGTGCTATTTTCTCTTCTGTGTGTGATTTGGAGAGCTCTTATTTTGGAGCTCTTGTAACTTGCTAGCCTCTTTCTGCTTAATCTTATAGATCATTTTGTCTTCCTCACTCTTTTATAATTCCTAAATGCCAACTTTTGTTTTTAACTATTTTGGCCACATCTGCAGAGTACCACAGTGGTTTTCTTGAATTTTTTGCTTTTACTGACAAGCCTAATGCAATTTTCTGTTGCCTTCAATAGTGCAACTTTTAAATAATCCCATTTCTCTTGGACTCCATTTAAATTGCTCCAGTCTGATAATGACTCCTCTACACATATTCTAATTTTAGAAAAGTCTGTTTTTCTAATGTCTAAAACTTTTGTTTTGTGTGGTGTGACTCAGTCACTGTTCTTATATTAAACCACATTGACTGATGATCACTGGATCCTAAACTTTCACCTACAGTAATATCTGATACCAAATCTCCATTTGTTAACACTAAATCTAGTATGGCCTCTTTACGATTTGGCTCCTCAACAACTTGTTTTAGAGACAATCCCAGTAAGGAGTTTAGAATATGTGTGCTCCTGGCACAAGTAGCTAATTTTGTTTTCCAATTTACATCAGGAAGATTAAAGTCACCCATGATGATAACTTCCCCTTCATTGTCATTTTAGCTATTTCCTCAACTAGTAGATTATCTAACTCTTCAATTTGTCCTGGGGGCCTATAAATCACACCTACACGAGTTACTGTGTGATTACCAAATTCTAACGTAGCCCAAACGGACTCTGTTTGCCTCACTAACTTTTATTAGGCTAGATTTTATGTTATCCTTCACATACAAGGCCACCCCTCCCCCTTTCTTGCCTTCCCTATCTTTCCTATATAAAGAGTACCCTGGTATTGCTATGTCCCAGTCATTTTCTCATTGTACCATGTCTCAGTAACAGCGACTAAATCTACACTATCAGTTGCCATTATTGCCACAAGTTCATGGATCTTATTCCCTAAACTGCGAGCATTTGTAGACATGACTCTAAGCTTATCATTTTTTTAACACACTTGCTACAGTCACCTTCTGTCCTTCTTTTGGGGGACAATTGTTGTAAGTGTTGCAAATGCTTCCAGCTGAATCCTGGCTATGTTTGTATACTTTTTATTTAAAGTTGTATACAGTGTAACATTCTTCCACTGGGTAGGTATATTAGTACTTCGGTAATACCGTGCTTCAGAACTTTGGAAATTCGGCAATTCGGAACTTCAGCGGTTTGCTGATGGCAACGGTGTGGATCAAGTGACCCATGGTGGCGGAGAGGTAATGGTATTGTCAGGCGTATGTTATGGACAACGAACACAGGTGCATTTTATTGATGGCATTTTGAATGCACAGAGATACCATGACGAGATCCTGAGGCGAGGCCCATTGTTGTGTCAATGATCCACGACTATCAGCTCATGTTTCAGCAAGATAATGCACGGCCCCATGTTGCAAGGATCTGTACACAATTCCTGGAAGCTGAAAACCTACTCACCGGACATGTCACCCATTGAGCATGTTTGGGATGCCCTAGATCGGCATATATAACAGCATGTTCCAGGTCCTGCCAATATCCAGCAACTTCACACAACCATTGAAGAGGAGTGGACAACATTCCACAGGCCACAATCAACAACCTGATCAACTCTATGGAAGGAGGTGTGTTGCACTGCATGAGGCAAATGATGGTCACACCAGATGCTTACTGGTTTTCAGACCCCCCCCCAATTCAGCAAAACTGCACATTTTAGAGTGGCCTTTTATCCCTCTAGAATGTAAGCACATGGAGCAGGGCCCTCCACCTCTCTGTTCCTGTACTTCCAGTTGTCTGGTTACAATTACATGTCTGTTAGTCCACCCATTGTACAGCGCTACGGAGTCTGATGGCGCTATATAAATAATAAAATAATAATAATAACTGTGGCCTAACTGTGGCATCTTGATATGCCACACCTGTGAGGTGGATGGATTATCACAGCAAAGGAGAAGTGCTCACTAACACAGATTTAGACAGATTTGTGAACAATATTTGAGAGAAATAGTACATAGAAAAAGTCTTAGATGCAAAAACAAGTGTTGCGCTTATAATTTTGTTCAGTGTATAATTCAGAGAGGTTTTTGTCTCTATCTACATTATTTTGAGATGCTAAATTAATATAGTGTTCCCTTATGCCACATTTAAATGATGCTCATATTATTGCTGGAGAAAGATCAGAAATATTATTTTCCTTAAGGTATAATAATAGCAGATTCCTAATGTGTTCTCTATGTGAATGAATTTCCAGTATAAATTCTGTTAGTTTCCACTGAGGTCTTTTTCTAGTAAAATTGTCTTTAAAGGACCACTATAGTGCTCCTCCGTTCCTCCCCGTCGGCTGAATGCGCCTGCGCGGCAAGAGCTGCGCGCGCATTCAGCCAGTCGCATAGGAAAGCATTTACAATGCTTTCCTATGGACGCTGGCGTGCTCTCACTGTGATTTTCACAGTGGGAAGCTAGCAAGCGCCTCTAGCGGCTGTCAATGAGACAACCACTAGAGGATTTGGGGGAAGGCTTAACCCATTCATAAACATAGCAGTTTCTCTGAAACTGCTATGTTTATAAAAGAATGGGTAAATCCTAGCTGGACCTGGCACCCAGACTACTTCATTAAGCTGAAGTGGTCTGGGTGCCTAGAGTGGTCCTTTAAGAATTGTAAATACCATATTATGGTCTGACCATGGAATTTCTATAATTTGAGTTTTTTTAACTCTTTCTGTTGTATCAAAGTCCATCAAGATATAGCCAATTCTAAAATATGATAAATGAGATTTTGAAAAGCATGTATAGTCTCTTTCAGAGGGGTGATATACACGCCAGGTATCTAGAAGTGCATTATCTTGAATCAAAGGTCGAAACCGCATCGCTTGATAGATTGAATTTCTATCCTGTGTCTTTCCTATATGAAATTGTCTATTCAACTTTACATCCACAACACAATTAAAATCACCCAACCAAATAAATGATCCCTGTTTTATTTGATCAACTCTATCCCAGAAATTGGATATAAAATTCAAAGTTGAATAGTTTGGAGCATATATGTTGGCCAGTGCATATGAAATCTGGTTTATAATGCATACTATTATTAAATACCTTCCCTCTGAGTTTAAACTAATGTTATCTATTTCTCTCCAGTGTGTTTCCTGTATTGCACCAATGTTAATATGATGTTTTTTTCAGAGTCTGAATCAGTATTGACCTGTTATAACGGGAATTAAGGCTTTGCACGTTCATTGAAGCTAGAGTTACCATTTTCCCATACTTGAAAGCATCTACTCACCTCCCATAGGCCATAAAATATAATTACAAGAAAAAAAACATCAGCATCAAAAAGTAACAAAAAACGATTACATGTATCACAAAAGATACTTAACAATAGACAATCTAAGGTAAAAATACCTTCTCCAGAGAAAATCTCTAGAGGTGAGTACTTAAAAAGTACTGTCCCTGCCATAACCCCTCTTTGAAAATAGGTAGGGATTTCTGCCAATTCAAAAAAGAAAAAAGAGAACCACGAGATTAACCTGTAAGAGACATATATATATAATAGAAAAGAGACTATGAGGGAGAAAGAGAGAGGAAAAAAATAAAAATCTTACCCTGCTTTTTTCCCCTCTTTTCTCTTCATTTTACATTAAGGATGTTTTGACAGAAATTTCTAATTTGACTACATAATCATATCCCGGAAAAGGGTTATTTCACTATAGGCGTTGCATTGCGTATTAAAGCTCATTGTATGAATATAAGAAGGGGGAGGAAAAAAAAAACCTCTGTCTAATTTTATGCTTTAAAAAAAAAAAAATTTGCAATTTGTTTATTCATCATGTTTTTGGTTTTTTAAATTCTTTATTTCAAGATAATGTGAAACAATACAACATTTCCTTATAACTCGTGAGCTGTACATAGGTATATGTAGGCATATGTATAACAATAATTTCCTTATACACACGGACAGCTAAAAACATATCTGCATTTAGTACATCAGAGTCATCTTTCAAGTTCAGGTGATGTAATATATCTGTGAACTAATCACGGAAAATAGCAATTTTCAGCTGTTTGTCTTGGGTTTTTTGCGGATATAAGAAAAAGAAATTATGCACAACCATGCAGATTTGCGGCGGTATATATAGGATATTTTGACTCCTAGGTCTTTTCTTTTTGGGATAAGGTAAGAGTGTCAGGGGATATCACAATAACTGGTTTTGCCTATTGCCGCCCCTTGTGATCCGTGAGTGATCCTGTGCTGCGCAATTGTACATGTTGAACTAGTAGATAGAAATATAGAAAGATAGAAAAAAAGAGGATATGTATCAGAGATGATTACGTTGGGAAGGGAGTGGGAAAAGGGGGAGATGGAAAGAAGGGGTGGGGGAGGGTAGAAGAAGGGGTGTAGTTGAGGAGAAGGGGTACCTGTGTGCGATCGTTTCGCCTGTTGTGGAGGGCGGTTATATCTATGGTTCGCTTTGGTCCAAAAACACGTTGGTTTCTGTTTCCATGTTTTTTAAAGGTAAAGTAATAAACATTTTCCTTTCTAAATCAGAGGGTTATTAAGTTCACCTAAAGCGCTCAAATCTTAACATTTTGTATATTAATTTTGTTCCTTTTTTAATATTATACAAGCTCGTTTTTAGCATTTGAAACATTCTCCTCTTAATCCTTGTTATTCTCTGTAGTAACCAGCAATAAAGGAACCATATAAGGGAGAAGAGAAGGAGGAAGAAAGAGCTTATTACAAATTCTGGTATATCAAAACATTTTTTGTTTCCATTCTTTACATGCAATTCAGTCAAGTGAAAAAATAAACATCTTAAATTAAGTATATACTTTTCATCCAATAATCCCACTAATATACATATACACTTATGTTATTTCATACAATAATGTCTCAAAATTACCCCTAATATTTTCCTTGGGAATCTTGACCTTTCGACTTTCTTATGTGACCTTGAAGTGTCCATTATTTATCAATTTAAGTGTATTTTCTCATATCTTTTCTCTTTCTTTATATAGTTAACGTGACCATTCTTTTGTGAGTAAAGGAAAAAAATTTTTTTTAAATTTCATAGTGTTCATTTGGTAAGTTCATTCTTCCAAAGTTTTTTGCGTAAAGTAGTAACTTATAAAAGGCTTTATATAAAAATATTTGTGAGCATTTATTTTTTATTTAGACAAATACTTATTAAATCCGAATTTAGTGACTATAGTGCTTTCTTGTGTGAACATAAAGTAAGTTATGTTTTTTGAAGATTTCTTCTTTTATCTTCCCCCTTTTCTTTTCTTTACCTTTATTTCAAAAAATAAAATAAAAAAATTAAGCATTTCTTAGTATCAATTCTAGTGTTTCTATCCTTTAGTTTTCATTTGATAAGTTCATTCTTACAAAGTGGACATCTTTCTTCTCTTTTCTTTTTTTGCAAAAAATAGTACCTTTTCAATTAAATTTTTTTGTAAAGTATTTATTTAGTAGGTTAGACAAATACATATCAAAACCATATTTAATGAATAGAGTGCTTTTTTTAATGTAAAAATTTTTTTACATTAATTAAATGTACCTTTCTTTCTTGTATTGTTTATCTTTAATAAAACTTTAAATTTCAAGTGTCCATATTCTAAAAAAAATCTATATATTATGCTATATTTCTTTCTCCTATCCTCTTCTTCCTTCAGAGAATTGTTATATTTAATGTATAATATATTTTCTTTTTATCTTTTATTTGACAGCTAGGTAACTTTAAGGGTATCCATTTAGAATTTTCATGGAAACAAAAAATCTCCAACTGTTAAAATTCTATTTCTTTTCTTCTTTTTTTCACTCTGTATCTTTCAGTTTCTTTTTCTTT